GCATTTGTAATTTTTCAAACAGAAAATAGCTGTGTGATTTTATGGATTTTCAGGAATGTATTCTAAATGCTATAAAGGCACCATATTTTCATTCCATGGATGTTGTGCTCTCTTTAAAACTTGTGGCTTTCTGCTGATTGATTCAGCAGATGAGAGAGTTGGAAGATCTTTCACATATTTGCATCTTCAGCCAAATATCATTTATTTTTCCCCAGAGGCATCACAACACCGTTTCTACAGCCTGGGAAGTAGTGTCTCCTGAATTCTAGTTTTTATAACCATTGGCAGCCTGATCTCATCATATACCCAGCTAATACTGTATTTAGCTAGAGCTGCTGTAGCAGAACTTATTCATGTATACTCACATTTCTTTGGACACTTCTAGATACAGAGCTCCCTTTTGTTTACAGCTTCACACCTCTCTAAAACACCTGATAAGGACTGTTGTGGATTTTGTGTAATAGGAGGCCATGAGAATGGTATGAATAGACTACAATGATGCATTGCACAATTCAATTTAAGTATGCACATCTTATGGGGGAGTTGCCAGGTTTGTGCAGGTACAATGAGGATATGAGTGCTGCATTTGGTGGGAATAGCTCATGGATGGTCTGTTATCCACCTAGTAGGATTCAGATTTCACTTCAGATAACAAAGTTACTTCCAGTTGTACTTTAGCATTGAAATAGTTCTTATTTTTGAACATTTCCCAACTGCTATTGATACAAAGCTGAAGAAGCTCACTGTAAACCACTTTCCCCCTTAATTTCTTGCTTTTGTTTAAAAATTCTGCTGTTCTTTCTTTTACTTGAATTTGACTGTTACTTAGTCCTGCTGCAGTCAACCTTCTGCTCATTGTCTATAAACTTATTCATTATTTAATTGCACCAACAATGGGTTTTGGAGGGAAAAATGTGGGGTTTGCAGGCAAAATGCTTGGTTTCACAGATCTGGTACTAGAGCAGCACTTTATTATTTATTATTTTAAAATTGCATGTTTCATGCTGACAAGTCTGTAGTTTATCAGCTTTTCTCTCTGCAGACCAGACTGCTTTTTATTTCAGAGGTCTGTTAAGCCTTCCTGTGCAGCTGGGATCCCTTAGTGGGGAGTAGTGGTGGCTCCCTGAAAGCTACGAGTTACTTAAGAGTTCACAGCTTACAAAAATCCAGTGGGCAGCTCTGCTTATGGAAAGGGAAATGAGCAGGCAAGCAGTGGTGGTCTGGCTCCTCTTGTCTCCAGCAAAGAGCAAGTTAGCAATTACTTTCAATATCAGACTGTCTTCTATTGAATTTGGCCCATCTTCTCTGCTTTCACTTTTTTATTGCCTTCCATAGATTTGAACCTCAGGGAAATGTCCCTAACTTGTTTTTTTTGCTGGTTTCACCTGAGTGTCGGTGTGATTCATGAAAAAGTGGAACAGCTTCCTGCACTGGCTGCCATGGTATCCAGCAGTGTTGCTATACACACAGAGCTGATGTAGCAAATGCTTATGGGGGGCTTTTTTTGGAGGGTGGGAGGTGTTTCTTTGTCTTTATTGTATTACTGACTAAATTTTCCCAGAGCTTAAAAAATAAAAATTAGAGGAACCATGCAACTAATTACATAGAATTATGAGAAAAATATTCCAGTTTGGGAAGGTTCCTAACATAAATAAAAGTGCACATGAGCAAGGCAGAAATTCTCCAGTTACATTCTCAAACTTGCTTTTTATAGGCAGAATACATGGAACATATTTCATCATCTCTGCAACAGAGTATAAATCTTGTGATCTTGTATGAGTCCTCTGCTGTATACAGCACTTCACACCCCTGTTGTTTCCCACTTGTTTCTTGTTCCCTACCCATTTGTTCCATTAGGAAGTAGCTTGAACAATTCCTTTCTTAAAAAAAAAAAAAAAAAAAAAAGGCCCTAACTAAATTTCTGTTCAAATTTATATCTTGCAAGTGGCTTTTAGAAAATATTATTTCTAGAAGATGTTTCATGAGTCAATTAAATTGAAAGTTCAAGGTAAGGTTCATGTAACTTAAAAATATAAAGGGTTCTAAAAGAGAAGATATATTTATTCATGCCACCTACTAGATTCCATGAGGTATTATTCTCCTTACTATTCATGTTTTTGAAGAATAAAGGCTCTTCTAATACAGTTCTTGTGCTAACTAGATTTCTGAAGAATAATTTTTGCAGGCTTTTGTTAATATGAGTAAGGCTCATTAAACAATATTAAAAGGAGGTGACAATATAGCATTGGAATGCGTATTTTGAGAAGTGGTTTCTTGAAAACAAAGCAAAAAAAATCATCATTTCCTTACAATGGCTTTTCATTTATGGTCGCTTTTGTGTATGGTGTGGTATATTATGAAGGTAATGAAAATTGGCTAAAATTTAGTTCTGGCATTTCCACTTAATTGCATTTTAAAGAAAAAAAGTCTCAGTGTACAAAATTCTTTACTCTGTAGAGACCTGTACAACTTTTAAAAAGTTAAATGAAGGCAATACTTATTATGAAGAATATTCATTTTAACTTTTTCTCCCCTAGCTCTAGTTATAGTCCCAGAAGATATGGCAAAATGTTAAAGCTGTGAAATAACATTAAAATGCCATTTAATGTGTCAAGGGAAACTTTGTTTATTTTTTTTTTCTCAGATAAAAGGACGTGAATAAAAGCTTTTTCTTCTGTAGTGCTCACAGGTTTTCAAGTAGATGGAGTGGGCTGTTGCTTGCAGCAGATTATGCCAGATGCCAAGTTGCCTAGGGATGTGTGCTTTGTTTGTTGGAGACAGGGTTTATTGTCTTGCCTCCAGGCATTAGGTTGAGTCTGTTAGACTATATAAGTAGTGATTTTTATCCTTTGAGTTAGTGGAGTGTCACATGGTGCTATGTGACATTTTTAGGTAATGCATGAAGAATGATTTTTATTTTCTTATTTTTTCTTGGATATGTAGTAGGTAACCTCCACTGAAGTTTTGCAAAACCCCTAAATATTTACCACTAAAAGAAAAGAGGGATTACAGGTTTTGGAGACATGTTTCTATGTTTTATGACTAAGAAATATACTAAATTATCATTTTATCATAGTTCTTTACCCACAGAAACATTATCAAGGAAGAGATGAAAGATTTTCATTTATATTATACACTTAGTGTGCAAACAGAGGACCAGCAAGTTTCTGTATGATGAATGTCTGAACATTTCCTGGAAGTCCTACTAAAATAAAATCAAATATTTTATAGGCATTTGCTGCATTTATATTGGGTATGAAGTAACAGTAATAATAATTTTTCCTGTTATTTCTCTCTTGTGTTTATTTCTTTCCTTTAAAATGCCTCATTTTAGTGCAGCAGCCAACACAAGGTATTTGACAAAATGGCCTGTGATCTCCTTTATTGTTACAATTTGTGTGTTATTATGAGCTTTCATTCAAGCTGTAAATTGTAAATAGATTTGTTCATATTACAAGTGTGAAGTGAAAATTCTGAGTAGAGAAACTGTGGTACCACTCTGGGTTAATTTGAGGTTCTTTTGTTAAAATTGCCTTTGCTGGAGATGGACAGATACTCATTAAGCATCCATGTGCTTGCTGAATGTCACTTCCTTTAGTGCATTCATCTTGGAGACAGCTCAAGCAAGCTGAAGAGTATAAAATTGTCTATTATATAATGCCATTTATGTCTAGAAAAAAAGACACCTTTATCTTTATTCAAAACAGAAATCCAAAAATTAAAATCACATTCTTAATAGGAGAAGGAAATAATTTTCAATTTCTAATGCTTGTATTGTTCTGTAATGCAACTCATCAGCCACTATGATAAATTTGGTGGGGGGTGGGTATTGTGGATATTTTTTCTGAAAAGTGTTGACGTCTTAGCCTATTCCAGCGTAACAGTAAATACTTCATGAATTCATACATTGCTGTAGAAAAGATTGTGCAGGTTCCAGTTTGGCAGAAGTCTGCCAGGAGGTCGTGATACAACATGCAACGGTGAAAGGTCGTTCTTGGAGCAGCCCGTAATATGTTAGACCTAGCAAATCTCCTAAAATTATTCAGCACTTCTCTTGTTTTGTGTTTTGCACATTGTAATGCAGTCGTTGTGTTGGGTTATTAATCCAGCTAATGGATGTTCTTCGAAGTTTAATGAACATTAGCAGGTTTTGCATCTCACTGTTTTGCATGCATCCGCTAGTTCTGTGCAGGCCTTCCATTATTTTCAAGACTCACTGCTGGCTTGATACTCACTGTTGAGTTCAAAGTGAGGAAAAATGTTACTAATGAAATGAATGGTGTTAACCATTTAATCTTAGTGTTTTGATTTCCTGCTTGATGCTAAGGTAGCATTAAAGCTAAGGAAGTATGAAGGTAATACCCAGACAAATGTTTCTCTGCCAGAGGCAAGTACTTAAAGCTTGATAGTGCTCAATATGCTTAAATATTTAAACATTTTAAAGTAACTGCATGTTTCAAAATAAATAAACATCTAAAATAAACATTTAACTAAACATCAGAAGACTGACTGACATTTAACTAAAAATCAGAAGACAGTAACTGGTCAGTTCTGACTGGTCCTACATAAATGTGTCTGTTCTGAGCTAGGAGTTCTTGCCTGCATCCTGTCCTCTGTCCCTGGCATTCTGTGTAACTTCTTGAATTGAGGTTAATTACTCTGTCCATCTTTCTTGGCCAGTTTCTCTTCTACCATTTTGGCAAATAAAGTTGAGTGAACTTGATTAGGGCTTTCAAGGTTGTATTTTTGTCCAAGATTTGCAGTGGTCACGGTCTCTGTACATAACACCCCAAACTGAACCAGGTGTCTGTAGCTTCATATGGAGCTCTTTCGGTGTGCTGGTTTGTTTGGTTTCTGGCTCAAACATGGACAAGTTGCTTCTGATTTGGTGAGGTCTTCATTGTGATTAATTTCTGTTGTCACATGCATAATATGACTGTATTGAAGTTGAAAATTATATTTTAAAAAAAGATATTGACACACTGTTTTTCCTTCTTTAGGAAAGCCCAAGAAGGGAAGAAGAAAGTTGTTCTAGCAGGCTGTGTACCACAAGCCCAACCTCGCCAGGAGTACCTGAAAGGCTTGAGTATTATAGGGGTATGTATCTTTAGAAATCAAAGGTTTTCATAAATGTTTTCAATAGGTCAGTGTCAATATCTAGGCTCTGTTGCCTTTCTCTTGGAAAAAGCAGCAGAGAAGCTTCCTGCCATGTCCTCCTCCTGTTCATCTTTTTGCATTATACTACACTTAAACCTCCCTTCAGTCGATGGTGATTTGATTCGGCTGTGGCACGAGGGGAGAAAGAAAAGGATGCTGTTGCTGGAGCTGACTTCCATTGCCCTTTGAATCCTGAAAATTTCCAGGCTTCATCCAGGATGAAGGTATCAATTACAATGTTCTTAAAAATATCATCATTTATTTGCTTTAAGATAAGCCTTAAGACCTTTGTTAAAATCAGTGGAAGAAGTGTAGGGGACTAGAGCATATGAATTACACAGACACAGCTGAGGGTTTGGTGGTTGTTTTTTTACTTCACACTATTAAGCAGAATGGAAAATAGCAATGATTATTTTGTTTAAATTTGAGGCAGCCTGAAGAGTTAAATCCACTGGTGACTGACTCGTTAAACAGTTACCAAGCTTTACCGTGAAAACGAAACCACAGAGCTTTGACTTTGGGAATAAAGTGCTTTCAGTATTCTTTGGGATGTGGTACTACTGTATCACTAAATCATCTTTGGAAAATAAAAAAGTAAAATGGGTGAATGGATTTCCTCTGTGCTCAGAGGCCACATAGTTATTGATCCATAATTGGTTGTTACAGCAAGTATAATAATACCTACACATATGTAGACAGAGGGGAAAAAAATGAACAGCTCACTGTCCTTTGACCAAGATTGTAATTTGATGTTTCAGTTTTGATGAATTTAACCTATCAAAATTGGGAAGTTTGGTATTTTTTTAAAACATTTTTTTTTTCCCTCTTTAAAATTTTTCATTCAGGTAACATATAATTTCTGAAAATTAACCTCTCCTCATCAACTTCATTTGAGTACCTAGAACCAGTGTTTAATGAAAACTATTAGTAGTTTTGTGTTTTTTTACAGGAAGGTTTCTGTTAGGAGACGAATTAGGTGTTGATGCAGTGTTCCCAAGTACTGTGCAACTAGACCTGAAAATACTGAAATGTAGTCTTTGCAATAAGGACACTATCTTCTAGCTGTCATTGCTGTGGTAAAATTTACTGTGCTTTCAGTAAGAGATCCCTCTGCTCAGAAAGATCTTAAACTTGAGGCAAACCTGTTAACAAAAACAAAGCTAAAAGCACATATTGTCCATGTTATCAGTTCATACATTTAAGATTTTCTTCACATTTTACAAAGAATGTGTATGAGAGGGTGACCGCATTTAAAGGACAAGACTTGTCTTACTATTGCGAAATATTTTTCAGAGGCAGCTTTTGCAGAATTGAGAAATAGAAAATGTTCTGTTGGAAATGGGATATTGATTCTACTTTAAAATTTCAAGCATTAAGGTTACAGTTTTGGAAATCTTTCTTTGATACCAGATTGGTCTTGTCTTGAACTTGGAAGAGAGACATAATTTATTTTATTTTTGCTTATATAAGTTCTGCTGTTTTCTTCTCCACCCTTTTTTTTTTCTTCTCTTTTTCAATATTTATTTTAAAGGACTCTTATCTGAGAATGTGTTTATTTACCAGCAATTATAACTCCCTTGGGGTGGCTTTCTAAAGGCAGTGTGTCAGAGGCTCTTCTCTTCTTGTTAGGATGGAGGAGGAAGTTGCGTTGTAACTACCAGCGAAATTCTAGTAAATCAGCTTGTTTTGATCTGCATTTGAAAAAATACAGGACTGAACTTCCACTGTTCTTTTATTTATTGCCTGATCTGGGCAGAAAGTAAGGAAGGGCAACCTCATAGCCTTCTTACCATTTGTGATGTTACTGTGCTTTTGTGTTTCTATAAAGTAATTGCTACTTTGAAAGCATGAAGTGGGTTGAGGCGTTGCCATAGGCTGTGTGTAAGGCAAACCATAATGTCACATGAGAAGGTGAAGGAGCTCTTTTCTGGAATGGGAAAATTCTAGGCAGTAATAAACCTGCCAAGGGTGTAAAGTACCTGAAACACATAATAATGCATTACAGAGGTTCACAGCCAGTTACCCTCAGGTGGTTTCCAAAGCTTACTGCTTTGTGTTTGTGGTGTACTCACTTCAATCTCAAGTGCATGTACAGTGCACAAAGAGACATCACCTCTCCTATGCAGAGTTATCCCTTACTTGGCATTTTTAGTTGCCAAAATTAGGATGTATGACTCTGCCAATTGTTTTGAGGGGATTATAGGGGAAAGAAAAGGAGGGACAAGGGGGGAATGAAAGATTTAGCCTACAGGTTATGTTTTGGGACTCGTAAATGGATGTAGGTAATTGTAGTGTTTCCTCACTTCCTGAGCTGCATACAAGAACACACAAAATCCTTGTTCCCAGTAACAGTTGATCCATTGGAATGGGATATTTTATTTCATAGACATTTTCTGGAGTTTTAAGGTGCTTGATCTCCAAATGATGCTATGTGTTGGAATCCCTGGCCAGGTTGCTGGGGGTTTATAGGCCTTAAGAGGCTTCACAAGGCCCGTGTATCCGTACTTTCAAATCATCAAACTTGCTGTGCAGACTGAAAGCATAATGCTTAATCCACACACATGTGTATTCCATTTCACTTATAGAATAGCTCCACAGGTGAGTGAATCTTGAAAGAGAACTCCAATTCTCCTTCATTCTCTTTCTTTCCCAGAGTAACATCTATCATCCAAGACCTATCACCTTCTGACATGTACCCTTCACCCAAGGGGAGAGTTTCAGCCTGTTCTTTCACCTGCACAAACCCACACACCCAATCCAGTGTTGCTGCTCTAGAAGGCTGTAACCCCCCCTCCTTTGCTGCTGCTCTCTGAATCAGAAGGTGCAGGTCCCGTGCATGGTGGGGTATGGCAGGCTCTTTGGCCAAGGCGAGCCTGAAGCCACTGCTTCCAGGAGAAATAGCCATGAAAAACCCTCTGCCAAGCCTCCTTGCATTCTCCTGACCTCCAACTAACCCTTTCCTCTGGCTGTTGTACTGTATAAGGCAAGCTTTAAGTAATTTTCTTTTCATATCCAGTTTGAAACTCTGGAATGTGATTAGTGGGAGTGCTGAACACTCCCAGCAGCAGCACGTAACACTAGGAGCACTGCTATAAAATAGATGGTGCAGCATAAAAAATGCTAAGTGCATTACAAAAAACAGGCACTTTATTTCTCAAGCTCTACATCTGTAATTGGAATACACTTTTAAGTGTAATTCCTTATTAAGTTAATTCCTTATTCCTTCATTTGTAAAATGCTCCAGTGACTATATAAAATCCTCTGGAACTTTAGCAGTGCCATTGTGAAAGGAAATCACTGTAACCATACCAAGATGCCCAGTGTCCATACATCCCTATTGCTTTGTCCTCATAAACGAGGAAGATATGTTGTATGTATGGTATTTCTGTTCATTTCATAGAAGTTTGGATGATGTTTGCAAAACAGAGATGGTGATACTTGCCTGCTTTGTAGTGTTTATAAGGCCACACTGCATTCAGGATTGCAATCCTGTTTGCTGCCCTTAAAACAGAGCCTTGCATAAATGCAGATATCCAATATGTACTTCATGAAAGTCAAATTTGATGGAATTTTACTCTGAATTATTTGAAATAGCAGAACTTCTTGGAAAGCATGCTGAAAACCTGAGAACAGGTAGAAACTGTTCTTCTGTAACTTATGGCTACGAATGATTTCATACAAACCTCTGCTGGTCGGCTTTGGCCTTTGAATTCCCATGTTGATATTCAGATAGGACACTTGAACCTGGGAAGTCAGAAAAGAGTGTCACTTAAGCACCTACTTTTAAACTGAAAATTGGACGTGCAAATTCAAAACTCATTTCTGCTCATTTCTACAGCAGTTATGTACTATCCTATAAATCAAAGGGTGTAGCAATTAATTTAGGTAAGAGTTATCCTTCAGCTGTGTCAGTGTTTAGCAATGAAAATAAATTGTTTATGTGCTTCTCTTGGTTAGTCTCCTTCCCTTTAAAGTCTGTGTCAGAATACATTCCTAACCCAGAGTAATGCCCATTACTATGGTCAGTATTGTCAGGAAAGGTTTTAAACACAGATGTTATGCCTCTGAGGCCAGGGTGGCTAGTCACATGCCTTTTGAAGTTACGTATTAAGCCCTAGATTTATCTTGCCTAAGTGCTGTAATTTGAGAGTCTGTTTTGCTCAGCTCTCTTTATGGTCAATGAAGATAATTATCTCTAAAATAACTTAGATTTTTAGAAGACCTGAAGTGCCTTTTGAAGCCATGTATTCTCCTTTTACTGGATTTGGAGAGGGAATAGGCTGAGTAGTCTTTTAACATCCATCATTTGGTAGAGATCCCTAAATAAGGTGAGATGAAACTGACAGTTAGTGAACTGGAGTTAAAATCTTCAGTATTATAAATACTATGTTCTAATTACCTAAGAGAGATTATTTTATCTATGTAGTGACCATTTTGTTTCTTAACTATGTCAATGAGAATCAATCTGTAGGGTTTTTCCTAGATGAAAAAAAAAAAAAAGCTATGTATAGATATGTATGCTCACTCCTAAGGTGTTTATATTGGATCTTAGGAAAAATTTCATTATGTAAAGGGTGGTCATGCATTGGACCAGACTACTCAGGGAAATGGTTGAGAGTCACCATCCCTGGAGGTATTTAAAAGTCATGTAGATATGGTGCTTAGGGATATAGGTTTTAGTGGGGGGCTTGGGAGTGCTGGGTTATTGTGGATACAAATGATTGCTGAGCTGTACTTATACCTAGCTCTGATCCTGCCAGGAGGGGTCATAGATTTTTCCTGGCCTTTGTTTCAACTCAGCCTTCATGCTTTGATAAAACTATCTTTATCCTTGCTTTTTCACCAGATGGTTTCCTGCTTTGGCCACTCCTTCATGGGGTTTTGAGCCTTGCCTGTGCTCTTGGCTCATATTGATCTCAGCTCTGATTTGTGGTGGTTGTTGTTTGTTTTTTTTTTGTGTGGGTTTTTTTTTTTTTGGTTTTTTGTTGTTTTTTTTTTGTATAGTTCTACTCAGCTGTCAGCTCAATTCTGTTGTGCTCTTGTTCTATTCACATTCTAAAGAAGAACCATTTGAAATGGACATTAAGTCCAAAATACACTTAACTATGCTGGAAACAAGGCCCCACAAGATCTGGGGCACCAAATAGGGTGCACTAACCACCCCCAGCAGTGGTGTCCTGCTGTCAGTCCTGGGGGGTTGTTTTTTTGAGACATTCTCCAAAGAAATGTTGAGGAATGGTGTCATTTCCCTTCATACACCGCCAAGATATCTCTGTGCCTCATGGGCTTCCTGATGCCTGATGGAGAGACGTTACTGGAGCTCTGCTCTGAAGGTTTACACATACACCACTTAGATACCAATCCAGAGCAGAATTGTCTACAAGGTATTAGTGAGATGTGAGGAACAGAATCCAGCAGGCCTTTGTATATGCAATAAAATTTATTACTATGACTTAGTAATATTTTTGTCCCTTTTTCATTCCTCACCCCCTTTTTTTTTTTTTTTTTTTTCAAAATAAGAATCTTCTAAACCTTTCCCTCTTCTCACTTCAGATTCACCTCACATTTTCTAAGATACTTTTATCTTCACAAGTGCAGACTGGAAGCATTCCACATTTTCTTCTTGAGCACTTGTGGCTTTAGCCAAATAATATCCAATAATTTAAAATGAAAAAAATATTTAATGTGGGAAATAACATGTAAGGCAGAACAAACATCCATTTCTAGGTGCAGATCTCATTATCTCTCAGACTTATAATTTTAATTACTTACATGAGCCATCTTCTTGATGGACATATTGAGAATAATTTAATTTATCCAATAAAATGAAGATGTGATATAATGGTTGGTGGGTTTTTTCTATTTTTATTCAACAGAGGATTTGCAGCAATGCAAAAATTCCTCAGATGCACAATGCAGAAAGTAATTGATGGCTCAGGTTATGAACCACCACAGTTTCTCATATTTTAAATTACTAAAATGGTTATGAACTTAAACAGTCTGGTACTGAGACATATAGCAGTAATGTTTTAGATAATATAACACAGACTTTGCTCCCTAACTGTTGTGTAGTTTTAAATGTGTACACTTCTATTTTCAACTGGAATTTTTCTATTTATTTTTTAAACATTTAGTAGAAAGTATGTATGTTGAATATCTTGGGTCATAATTTTTAAAACTATATCCAAAATGGATATGTACAGAAGTATGTAAATATGCATGTGTTCCATATGACTGCTTATGTGTGGTTTCTATACAAGCTGATTGCTAGATAAGTCAGTATGTCTGTAATGTTAATGCTTGTGATCCAGAAAAATATTTAAATGTATTTATTTTTCAGTAGAATTATTAAAAGGCAGATATTTGCAGTACTATAAACTAATTTCTAGAATTCATAACTAATATACTGTATTCAAAAATCTGAAATGATGGACATCCCTATTTTAAAAGGCTGTATTTCAAAAGATTAAAAAAAAAAAAGAAAAAGCAAAATGCTTTTACATGGACTTGATCCAACACCCAGACGAGGAAAGGAACTGACTCCCACTGACTTCAGTTGGGAATTTAAAATTGGGCTCCAACTTTAGGTGAGCTTTTTTTAAACTTCTATTAGACAGATTGGGAAAATGAATGTGAAATAGACAAGACAAGACTGAGTGACAAACTCAGTGGTTTAGGACCCAGAGACTTAATGGCTTTGATACAAGGGATCCAGGTTCCAGGCTCCTTGTTGCAGACCAGGTTCTTCTCCTTAGGTGTCTGCAACTTGTGCTTTTCTGCTTATTTTGTAAACAAGCTGGAAAAGAAACTCCAAAGAAAAGACTGCTAAAATCATACTAAATCTAATTCATGTAATGTGCAGCTTAGAGAAGCAGTATTTAAAAAGGAATATTGTGGAAAAATTGCAAACTAACTTAAGTGTGGCAAGTTGGCTTTCCTGCATTGTATGTAAATATCTGTAGAAGAATTACACAGAATAAGTGGTTTGGGTGCAAGCTCTGGAAAGAATCTCATCTTGGAGGATTCCTGAGTGTATAATTTTGCACTGTTAATGTTGATTCCTTGTACTTTATATGCCAAAATCCCTACAGTGTGTTGGCCATTGACTTTAAATAAAGACTATATATATCTATATATATAGATAAGACTGTATATCTATTAAGAAATGATTGAACTATTTATCTCCTTATTGGTGAATTTTGGCAAATATAACACTAAAACATAAATTTGTTGTCTTCATTGCAGATGTTATATAATGGTCATTAAATACTATTCTGTGTTGTGAAAAGCATGAGGGCTTTTCTCTTCATTTCCAAACACAGGCTGCTTTAAGTTCAGGAAAATTCTGTTCTGTTCTCTGTGAAGTTCTTAAACTAAACAACAGTATTTTTAATTTTTTCATATGTTCCAGTGTCTTTCCCATCCAGTACCTCATAAATTTTCTCCCCTATACTCTGCCCTGACAGTGTCCTCAGCTTTTTGTTATTATCCATTATTTTGCTGTGGAGACTGGGGTGAGGGAGCACTTTGGCTGTTTGAGCCACCCAGATGCTGAGTGCCTGGTTCACCATTGCCTGTCACAGATCATGAATAACACTTAAAGCCTTCTAGCTGTTTGGTGATTTTTGCCAAACATATGGGAGCTTGCCATTTTTGAGGACAAAATTTGGTTTAAATTGGGTGGTGAATTTTAAAGTTAGTTATGGCAGATTGGCCAAGATCCACAGAAATTGAAAACTGGCTAATGAATGAAATGAAATGAAAACACAGCCCAGAAGTCTTTACTCCTTCTTAATCCAGAAGACTAGTTACTATAAAAGTATGTCCAGTTGTTGACTACTTAGGTATTTACCTTCTGACTTTTTTTAGGTTCAGCAGATAGATCGTGTAGTAGAAGTTGTGGAGGAAACTATTAAAGGTAAGCATCACACTTGAACTACTTGCAGCTAGTCTGAAACATGTGAGCATTAGCAGAAGTGCTGCTGATGTGTTCTTTTTCAACCTAACACTTGCTTTGTGCTCTAGCTGAATGTTTGGGCAGTGCTATACTTTGTCATGCTTTGTTTAAGTGATGATTTCAGAGATGTTTTCTGTCAGGAGCTCTGTGGGTTGTTGGTTTCATAGGTAAATGATCTAGAGGAGACTTCAAGAAATCATTTCATTGTGTAGGTTGGTGTAGAGTATTGGATAAAGCTTCTGCACTGTCTTGAGTGTTACTCTTCTACTTTCTTCTGTTTAGCTCTCTGGTATTTTCTTCTTTTCTGATGTTTTGGCTTACCTCCCTAAGCTCTTCTCAGCAGGACAGATAAATTATCTTCTGGTTTAATGTTCTTTTGTAACTGTTCCTTGTTCTCTCTGGCTTTGTTCATGTGTGTGTACTCTTAGAAGTTTGCAGTGGAGGAGGGAAAAACCCCAGTATTGTTTCTGCAGCCTGACCAGTAAACATTTGCTGTTAGATAAATATATTTGTCTGGGTCCTTCTGGGTTACCTAAGTTTGTCTCCATTACTTATCAGGCCATAAAAATTGCTGTTCCATGAAGCTTTAAATTTTAAGGTTCAGTTTAATTGGCTGTACTTTCAATATAAACAAGTGTCTAGTCCACAAGACATTGTCAGTAACTTTAATTCTGGAATATGATTTTTTTTTTTTTTTCTTTACTTTTGTGTACTCCCAACCAAAGTTTTACCCAGATTGTCTTTAACTTATGGCATCTATTTTTTGGGGGGTACAACCTACTTTACCATACAAACAAAGAAGAAATAAATTCAGTGCATATTTTTTATTTAATCAGCCAAACTGTTTTCCCCAGAAACATCATGGTGTTCATGACAATATGTTGGAAATGAGGATGCTTAATGATTTTTACAACAGTATTTCAGATCCCTATCTGCTTTTTCCTGCATTTTATTTGTTCTTAAGGGAGTAAGATGATAACCTGGGTCAGCATACCCTCTCTTTACGAAATCTGGCTTTGTAATATTTATACTGACTCCAAATATTACTGCTTTTTTCATAACATAATTACTCAGGTTATGGTGACAGAGTGTTAGATGACTAGAAAGTGTACAAATAATCTAGTAGCAGCTGTTAAAATAATGATTTTCACTGAATGGATTTTTAGATTGCATTCACATTGATATAATGCTGGAAAATAAGGTTCATAGGAATGTTAATGAACATTCAAACTTTAAAAAGTGTGAATTTTTGGAAATATTTTTGTTTCTTTCTAGCTTACTAAAAGTGATTTGAATTAGAAAGTGAGCTGCTGAATTCCATACATAGTGCCAGTTCCATCAGGGATTAACCAAAAGGTAACGGAATGCAGGATTTCTGAAGTTTTATTGGAAAAAAAATAAAGAGAAGCCAGCTCTCCATTTTGAGAGAGACACTGACATACTGGAGAATGTCAAACAGAGATGGTTAAGAGACAGAGACTGGATCATTTCTCCTCCTAGGACAGTCTGAGAAGGCTCAGGGAGAGGGAATCACATCAAAGTATATAAATACCTGAAGAGAGGGTGCAAAGAGAAGTGAGACACCTTTTCAGTGGTGCCCACAGACAGGACTAGAGGCAAAGGGCAAAAAAAAGCACAGGAGGTTCCCTCTAAACACCAGCAAACACATTTTGACAGTGAGGATGAGCAAGCACTGGCTCAGGCTGAGGGAGGTGGTAGAGGCTTCATCCCTGGCTGTATTCAAATACTGTGGACATGGTCCTGGGGAACTGGCTCTCAGTGGCTCTCCTTGAGTCAGAGCGTTGGACAAAGTGGTCTCCAGAGATCCTTTCCAACTGTAACCCATCTGTGACAATAAAATTACAATTGGAAGGAGAATCAAGTTGGCAGAGATCATAGCATATGATAATATCTTACTTTGGTAAAAGCCAGCCATAAAAATAGGAGATTTTACTTATATTTCTTTAGTTTACTTAAAGAAGCTGCATTATTTTATGTATTTTGGAATCATCTGCTAATGGAGAAGAATGTGAAGCTCTTTTTCGTTGTGTTTTATGAAGAGTTTAGCGTTGAACTTCCATTATCTAAGTGAAGTAAAATACTGTAGATAATAGGACTGCTGACTAGAATATTTTCTTACATAAAATGGATACATGGTAGAAGATTAAAAAAGTGTAAAATCAAATGAAATGTAACCCTTAGTTTTCAGGAGTCTACATTGTTGGTAACAGCTTCTAAAGCTGCTAATGGTTTCAGAAGATGGAGGTGTTGTGGGACCAGGAATTAAACATGAATTCTGAATTCAGAGCCGGCTTGCACCAGAGACTTTTAAGCTGGGTATCTGTCATAGCTGAATGACACATTTTTTTTAACTTTTTTTTTAAAGAAAAGCTAAAGTTGCATGGATGGTGTACTTTTGTAGTGTGGTTATGTATATATTGAAAGCTTAAAAGTATTATATATTGAATGTTCAAAAAAATATTTGACTAAATAAGTGGAACTTCATAGTGTCTGTGCTCTGTAGGTTGGTCAGCCTGAGTTGTCTGGATTTTCTATCCAAATTTCAAGCTGGAAACAAGTTACCCTGGTGCTAGTTTTAAGTCTAAAAGTCTAGCTTTCCCTGGCTTCCCATTTCTTAAGTGGTAGCTTAGTTTTTTCTTGGATGCTTGAATTTTTTTCATTTGTAGAAGTTGCAGTTTTTGGGAAGTTTGTAGAAAGAATTTTTTTTCCTTACCTTTTTTTTTTCCCCAAATAGTCATCTTTTCAGTTTTTCATGAAAATGGCTTCCCTGTTGGATTTGGTGGAAGGCTTGTTGGTTTCCCAAAGAAAACTGATTTCTTGGAATTATTTAGAACTGTTTGTATGAAATATAAAAGGGTTTCTTCTAGCTTTTTTTTCCCCTCATTCTTAAGGGCATTGTCAGGGAGACCTTTTCAGAACAATTCCATTCTGCTGGGTCAAGAGATGGTAATTACAAGAAATATGTCTTTGTGGTGGTCTTTGCCACATATGTGTGAAGACAGTGTAATTGTTAGTTCCCAGCTTTCCATCGAGATAATTCTGATAAACACTTTTTATGTGACTTTATCTTTTTATCCTGCTTCATCAGAAAATGAAAAAGAAGGATGTGCACATTTGTTGTTGCACTGACAGCTAAAAGAGAGAGAGAGACTTTTAAGAGGTTCAGTGATTTCTCAATTTTATGCTATCCTAACTTTTATCACAAGTGTTGAATTGAATCTTTGAAATTTCCTAATTAGCAGGTAAATTAGCAGGTAAATTGTCACTTCCAGAGGCAATCTTCAATAGCAGTGCAGTATTTGTATGCAGGTCATGTCTAATTAATATTTATACTGTGTCCTAAGATATATTTTAACTAGAGGCATCTTCACATACTTTTCATATGATGTGGTAATTTATATGTCTGTGAAGAACTAGACAAAATAATTCATTCACAGTCTCAGAATTGAGTTTCTCCAAGTGACAGCCACAATTGTGTAGCCAGTGTGTCTCTCAGTCTTCCTCATAAACAGAATGGTTTTGTCATGCAGGGTTCTGATTTAACAGTTTAGTAAACCTTACTTCATCTGCACATTACCAAAATTTTAAGTCTGGATTACAGCAATTTTTACAACATTAGGGCACCATTCCCGCTCATGTGCTTAGTTTTCCAGTAAGGTGTTGTGATGACATAGAATGTAAGGAAAGTATTGCTAAGGAGTTGTGGTGTCTGTGAGCTAGGTGAAAACAGGCCTATAACTGATGTGTGTTCCATCACTTAGTAAAATTTCAGTATAGAATATGGAAGTTATTTAGGATGATCAGTTTCTGTAGTATGCTCCAATAAGCTGAAGATTTGTCCTTGGTGGGAACTGAAGAATGTCTTTATGGTGACTGCTCAAGTCAGCTTTTTATGAATCACTCTAAAATCTGTCTTTAGAAAAAGTCTGTGTGTGTATACAAGCTTGGCTATGAACAGTTTACAACAGGCAAGAGAATACATTTGTTCTGTATTTTAAAGGAGAAATGTTAAGTGCTTTATAGAGAAATTTTTCTTTTCTGGCTTTGAGGTCTTCAGAGACTTAGGTCTTTCCCCCTTCCTTTCTAGACATGCTCTCAAATTCCATGTTAATTAAGGGTTTTTGGAGGTGGGAGGTGTGGGACCAGAGTATTTGTGTACAGTCTGCTTTTAGCTTAGGCCTTAGGGAGGTGAGGGACATAGGTTGAATTGGGTTTAGTCCATATTGTGTCTGTCTAATGCTTTCACAAAACATAGTTTTACAATAGGTCATTAGACCTGATTATAAAAAACAACCAAAGGAAATTACTTCAGGGTTGAGCCCTTTATACTTAGCATAACCTTTCTCAGTTTCAGTCACGTTGACCTGTCTGGTGAAGTTGCCCATCCATTCCCAGTTAAAACATTGACCATTATTTGCTAAATTGTTTAATTGTCCTCATGTGGTTGGCAGTTACTGATTCATGATAGTTGCAGTGTCTGTTGGTATGAAAATGAGATAAATGGTACCTATATTATATATAGGCTAAAGTGTAGAATCTATACTGGATTGTCCACCTGAGAGTATGTGTGTATGTGTATATATATATCTATATCTATGTGTGTGTGTGTATGTATATGAATGCCAGAATGTTAAATAGTATTGATTGATTGATTGCTTGATTTCACTATAATCTGCTGGTAACAGTAGATAAAAAAGTCTCTTTTCAGTTTCTGTGATTGTGGGAAGAGTAGCCTTGACTTAAGAAGCTGATGACAGGCCAAATGAAGAATAAAAACTGGAGGAGTCAGGAGTTCCTATTTGAGGAAAAGTATCATTTGGCTCCCAGTCAGGAAACTGACTGTCTGTGCCAAAGTGCAGCTTAAGGAGGGTCAGAGGGAGGGTAGTGGCCTCATCAAGTCCCTGTTTCTGTCTCCTTTGAAAGGACATAGAAAGGAGGGG